CGCCAGCACTGTCCTATAGTATAGCTGCAAGTCAGTCCCAGACCATCTGCCTGTTTCTGTAACACATGGTCACGCCAGTCACTTATATGTCCTCTGTGGCTGTTTTTGTGCCCCGGTGGCTGTTTTTGAGTAGTAATCCAAAAACTACGAAAGATGCTGTCCCGGGAGTGATGAGCATGAGGGGCTTTCTTTCTAGAACTCGTGGTTAGGAGAACGTCTCTAGGAACTTGGGCTTTTACATTGGCCGTCCACCACTTTAAAATGATTCCTGAGGTTGCTGTGTGGAGCGTAGCCCGAGGGGTGAGGAGAGGGACAGGAACGGGTCAGGCGGTGGGGCTGGGCTGACCCAGGTGATTCGCTGCACTCTGCACTTTGACCACTAGCTGACATGGTTTGCCTGTGGATTTGGATGTGGAGCCTGAGAGAGAGGATAGCACAGGCACCATTTGTTCCGTCACAGGTCTATTCCGAGATGGGAAGTCTCTGAAAGGGGCAGTTTTAGGAGAGAACAATCCAGAGGTGGGTTTTGCACGTATCCAAGGTGAAGAGCTCAGTAGTGGGAATGCCGTGTGGGCAGGTTCGTGTGCTCGGAGTTCTGGGGAGAGAATGTATTGTGATGGGAGTGTGGCCATCCTCGCCAGCAGCCTGGATGGCATCTCAGCCCCTGCACAGGACAGTGCCACAGGGCCGAGCCTGCGAGTTAAGCCGGCTCCTCACGCTTGGAGCAGGGTCTCTCCTGTGGGCACTGCTGACCTCAGGGCCGGGTCATTCTCTGTATGGTCGTCCTGGGCACTGGGGGGAGTTCAGCAGCATCCCTGACCCCCACCCACTCCCCAGTTGTGATAACCATAGATGTTCCCAGGTGTCAGCCGGTGTCCCCTTGGGCCGAGTCACCCCAGGATTGCCCTACCGGTTAGAGGTAGAGCCCACAAATGAGCCTCAAGCAGCCACCTGCACAGGGGACAGAGACCCAAGTGAGGGTGTGTTCAGGGTGCCAAGAGCCGAGGGGGGCCCGAGTGTCAAGAGGCGAAGCCACACGCTCCGAGGGGTTGGGTAAGGCAGGGCCTGAGGAGTGCCTGCTCTCAGGGCACTGCCACTCGGGGTTTGTGCGGCCCCGCGTGCCGGCTGAGCCATCTGCAGGGAGTTTTCTTTGGCTCGTTGGTGTTGCTGCTGTTTGGCTGGTCTGTTGACTTACTGACGCCACCTGGCTTCGGGAAATGTCACCTAAAAGTCCTCATTTCCGCCTCTCGAAATGGGCCAGCTGAGCTCGATTCTCACCTGGAGGTAGGGTGGAGCTCGAAGCAGGTGCCTCTCAGGAAACCTGCTTTTGAGTTGGGCACACCTGGTTTCCCATGCACCTGTGTGTGGGCCTCTGCTGCATCCCCATCTCACACTCTTGTCACAGGTCTTCCTCCTGCTCGATGGCAGTTGGACAGATGAGAAGGCGTGGCCTCAGGCACTTTAAATCAGAAGGAATGAATTCTTTAAAGGCAGCCTCCAGGCGTGCTGTGCAGTCGAGTGAGGCTGGCAGCCTGTCGGAATGCACGAGCGGCAGGACAGTGGTGGCGCTGGCACTGACGTGTCCGTGCGACACCTGCTTTCACAGAGGACAGTCCTGCTGGAGAGGCCCAGCAGGCGTGCTTGGCAGGGCCCTCTGGGCCAGGAGAAACATGGGCTTCAATGTGGGTAGCCAAGAAGACTCAAGAGCAAGAGCAGGGAATAGAGCTCAGAATGGGTTGGAGTGAGATGGGGACCAGCCAGCTGCGCCATCGTCCGTGCCTCAGCGGGAAGCCTCAGGGGTGACTGGAGAATTGAGGGGCAAGGCTGGCCTGGGATGCAGAGGCTGTAGACTGGCATTTGCCAAGTTGGTGGGGGCCGATCTGGACAGTGCAAGTCTGCTGTGGTGCAGGGGGGTCTCGGTGCTTTGTGTCCCCATCACAGCTTCCTGGGGCCCCTTCACCTCTTTTCCTTTCTTTATTTCCAGATGAATTTAAGTGCCCTGTCAAGGAGGAGATCGCGCTGACCAGCGGTGAATGGGAGGTTTTGGCCAGGCATGGCTCCAAGGTACCAGCGTCTCCATGCACACTTGTACATGCACAGGCACATAGACACACACTTCTGGTCCCTCTCAAGACCTCTTGTGCTTGTGGCTCCCCTGCCCCTGCCTGGCCACTCCTCCCTCCTGCTCCGCCCCCTCCACAGCCCCAGTGTGCCCAAGGCCAAGGCTGGCGACACCCTGGGTCCAGGATGCAGGGCCCCATCTGAGCACACTCTCAGGGCCACAGGGAGCTCTCTGTTATCCTCCACTCTATGAAACCACTCAACCCTGGAAGAACAGTTTGTGGGACACTTGGGGTGCCCACTGTGGGATCGTCTTGCAGCTTCCAACCAGGGTCACCCCCCACGCTTGCCCGAGGGGAGGTTCAGGAGCAAAGGATGCGGCCACAGGGAAGACCAGAGGCGTTCGTTCCATTCCCCCAAACGCATCTCTTAAAAACACAGTGCGACTTTGCCTCTGGCTACAGCATCTTCACAGGGTCCAGGTCTACAGAATTCCAGATTTTACAAAGGGTCCCCTTCATCAGACTTCCTGGTCCCTACTTCACACCAGCATAAATGCCTCGTGGACCAAAGACAGACATATGAGCACATGTGTGTCCCTCCCAGTGCTCTTCACATGGTGGGAAGTAGCAGTCAGTCAGCACTGGAGTGGCCCACAGTTGCAGGGAGGTCCAGGCTCCATAGGGAACCGTGTTGATTACAGCAGAACCACACCTGCCAGAAGGCCCTGTCACCGACTTGTAAAGCCGTCACTACAAATTGCTGGGAAAGAAGTTGTAAAACCATGAGCACAGTCCCAATTCGATCAGATTTTACGTTCTCATCTTTATGTGTGAGGCAAGAGGGCCAGAAAGTGGGGCACCTAGAGGTTAAAGGACAGTCGCCTACTCTTAGTGGCTGTGCTTGCTTGCAGTCAGTCTTGCTGGAGGTGTTCTCCCACCCTATCCCCCGACCCCAGCTCTTAGCCTAGCTCTGCCCCGCAAGGAGTAACTGGGTACTAAGACTCTGTTTCCTCATCTGTGAAATGGAACCATCTAGTACAGTGATGGCGAACCTTTTGAGCTCGGTGTGTCAGCATTTTGAAAACCCCTAACTTAACTCTGGTGCCGTGTCACATATAGAAACTTTTTGATATTTGCAACCATAGTAAAACAAAGACTTATATTTTTGATATTTATTTTACATATTTAAATGCCATTTAACAAAGAAAAATCAACCAAAAAAATGAGTTCGCGTGTCACCTCTGACACGCGTGTCATAGGTTCACCATCACTGATCTAATAGCTCTAATTCTTTCATCGTGACAACTGGTCTCTCCCCCTTGTTAGTGCTGATGATTCTCTCTGGGGGCATCCTGGGCACTGCAGGGTGTTGAGCAGCCTCCCTGCCTCCCACCAGAAGTACTCCCGTTTGTGACCACCACAGATGTCCCCAAACATAGCCAGGTGTCCCCTGGGGGCAGAACTACCCTGGGTGAGGACCCTGCTTTAAAGTACTTTGAAGCCCTGGGCATATATAGGGTTTGGCACACACATAAGCCCGCATCATCCCTTTCTCTCTCACCGAGCTAGAGTGACCGCTAACATCCCTGCCTGAGGTCATGTGCCCCCGGCCTATTTCTGCGCTCCCTCTGGAAAGATGTGGCCGGGGTGGGTCCCTGGCCTGGAGAACACTGATTTCCCCATTTGTTTGAGTTTTCAGGGACATCCTCTATTTCTAGAAAACCTTTATTTAAGAAGCATGGTAACAATGAACACTCAGTATTTGTTATAATGACTGGATCATTCTAGATACAACGCACATCGGAATCCCCTTCCGCCCTCACCCTGCACTCTGCAGCCTCCGCCCCTCCTTGGAGGTGACCACAGAGGGAAATCACTTGCAGAGCTTTCCTATTTGCACACATCCTTTTAGGGGATTTCTAGAGGTTTTTTAGAAGATAGTTTTTTTGTGGACACAGAGAATTGTGCCATAGTTACGGGAACAATTCCACCTTTTTGGACACTCCTGTTGTCACCTTTCTTTAGTCTTAAGAGCGCTTTGAGCATCTTTGTCCCTCCATTTTGAAATCCCCTCCTGGGCGAAGTCCTCAGGAACAGTTCCCAGAGGTCTCGCTGCCAGGTCAGAGGACACACTTTTTTTGTTTTGCCTCCATGTTGCCAGGTTGGCCCCAGAGAGGCAGTGCCTGTCCCCATCCCCAGAGCAGGGTTTTTCCCTCTCCTCCTGAGGACATCACCTAAGAGCCCCACAGGGATATAGGTGGGGCAGGGAGTGCCACCTCTTTACCCCATGCATTGAGTCACAGGTGGGCTGACCCCACCCGGGACCAGGGCCTGGGGCTGTCAGGCCTTTGGGCCCAGGATGGCCCCTCCCTCAGCCTCTGTGGGAGGCTCTGGGCATGCCCAGAGTGACTGTCCAGGGTTCTGATTCTAAGTTGCTCCTGGATGTGCAGCCAGCCCAGCTAGATCGAGATCTACTCCCGCCCCACAGGGTCTGAGAAGTGCATCTCTTCCAGACACTTCTCCGGCCAACTTGGGAGATAACAGGTCCCCTGCTCACAGAACATTGGCCCTCCCTGTGGGGGTAGGGAGATGGGCAGGGGTCATGGGAAAGCAGACCTGGGAAGCGTTGGGCAGCCTCACAAGGAGCCCCTGTGTCCCCACAGATCTGGGTCAACGAGGAGACGAAGCTGGTGTACTTCCAAGGCACGAAGGACACTCCCCTGGAGCACCACCTCTACGTGGTCAGCTATGAGTCGGCCAGTGAGATTGTGCGCCTCACCACGCCCGGCTTCTCCCACAGCTGCTCCATGAGCCAGGTGGGCACTCCCCTGAGTCCAGATGCTCTTGATGGCACTATCCCTGTACCCGCCTTAGCCTCTCAGAACATTCTAGAACATCAGGCAGCAGCCAAGCACAGGGCCACTCCCCATCCAGGGTAAACAGTTGGTAGCAGTTTGCCGACTATAGAACCAGAAAGATCGTATAGGAAGAATCTGAGTCTGACCACGTGGGACCCCTGGCCAGGGGACAGAGTCCTCTGGGCCTCAGTTTGCTTATCTGAAAAATGGGGGTAATGATAACAGTAGCCACCCCACATGGGTGGGGTTTTGAGGTTTAAATGAGCACTTACACAGGGTAAGGATGGGCAGTATCAGTGAAGGTTGGCCAGTGATGGGACAAAGGGTGCAGAATTGGGGGGTGGGGAGAGGTGCTCAGCGCCCCCGTCCTACCCGCAGAATTTCGACATGTTCGTCAGCCACTACAGCAGTGTGGGCACACCACCCTGCGTGCACGTCTACAAGCTGACCGGCCCCGATGATGACCCTCTGCACAAGCAGCCTCAGTTCTGGGCCAGCATGATGGAGGCAGCCAGTGAGTAGCCCCAGGTCCTCTGGGACTTGACCGAGACTTGCCGTTGGGAGCCCCAGCTTGCCCGTCTAGAGAATGGATTGGGGTCCCATCCGATAACACCGGTGAGAGGAGGGTGTCCTGGAGGGTGTGAGGCAGCGAGCAGCCTGCAGCCCTCCCTGCTAGGCCTCCCCAGCGTCTGGCCTCCCCGGCAGCCCTGAGAGCGCCTCTCAAACATGACCACTGGCCCCAGCTGTCCTGTGGGCTCTGCCCCTGGGACAGTCTCTTTTCTGTGCTGCAGGTAAGGCCTGCCCCTCACAGAGCAGACTCGGTTCAGGAGCCGACTGCCTGCCAGCGGGTCCCTGAGGCATCCTTGTCCTCGGGCAGCGTCCCCAGGCGCAGAGCAGATGCTTGGGAGCCTTTGAAGAAGCAGGCCTGGAGGTCAGGCACAGGTGGAGCCTCGTAAACCGGAGGCAGCTGTCAGTTTGCCCAGGAGCCAGGAGGGCGGCCTTCTCGCTGCTGGGGCGACCCCAGGTTCCAATTCTGGCTGCAGAACAAGGACAAGTCAGCTTGCCTCCCTAAATGTTCCTTTATCTGCAAAGTGTTACAATGTCTGTTCTTAGGATGAAAATCAAAGCCTTCCAAACACATAAGAATCTCTCCCTAAGCAGGACCCCCTTCCCTGACCCAGACCTGCCACTTGCTAGATTTCCAGATGTTCTGGGAAATAGGAAGCCCTGGCATTTGTAAAGTATTTATGGGCTAGAAAACATCTTTATCATCACCCCCTGGAACCTTAATAGGTAAAAGGCTTCTCCACCTAATACAGTGGTTCTCAACCTTCCTAATGCCGCGACCCTTTAATACAGTTCCTCATGTTGTGGTGATCTCCAATTTCATTGTTACAAATTGAACATAATTAAACCATAGTGATTAATCACAAAAACAATATGTAATTATATACGTGTTTTCCGATGGTCTTAGGCGACCCCTGTGAAAGGGTCGTTCGACCCCCAAAGGGGTCGCGACCCACAGGTTGAGAACCACTGACCTAATAACTCAGTCCATGACTCTCTGCACGTCAACAACACTGGACATGATGGAGCAGGACCCTCAGCCCTGGTTCACAGATGAGGGCGGGTATTGCACAGCAGCAGGGGAGCAGCGATGGGAACTTGGGTGTCCTGATGCCCAGCCCTGGATCTGCAGGCAGGAGGACTAGGGACTGTTTTCTAAAACTGCTGACCTTGCCATGTTTGCAGACAACCTCTATGAGCCGTTGGCCAGCTGTGGCCAGATCCCACCACGCTCTATCATTTGCATCGTCTGTGGCCGCCTTAGGGCCACAACAGCAAAGCTTGGTTGTTGGTTGTTACAACAGAGACACAGAAAGTCTCCTCAGCACCTAAGGCCAAAAATATTCTCCACCCCTTTCCAGTAAACATTCCACAACCTACATTCCCACTTATTTAACTTTTTAAAAAAATATTTTTTAATGGATTTTAGAGAGAGAGGAAGGAAGGGAGTGCAGAGAGAAAGAGAGAGAGAGAGAGAGAAACATTGATCAGTTGTCTTCCATATACATTCCAAACTCCGATTGGGGATCAAACCTGCAACCTGGGTACGTGCACTGACCAGGAATCGAACCGGCGACCTTTCGGTACACAGGACAATACTCAGTCAACTGAGCCACGCCAGCCAGGGCACCTTATTTAACTTTGAAATCTGCACCCTGTTTACCTGAATAAAATCATCTTAGAGACTTTCTTCATGATCATGATCCAAACACCCGTGTTGCTTTGCAAAAATGAAAGCAATTATAAAGATTTGAGAGAAGCAGACCATGAAATTGTCTGTCAAATCACAGAAGTGATGTCACCTTCCTGGGGGAATCAGCTAGCACAGTGATGGCGAACCTATGACACGCGTGTCAGTGGTGACACGCGAACTCATTTTTTTGGTTGATTTTTCTTTGTTAAATGGCAGTTAAATATGTAAAATAAATATCAAAAATGTAAGTCTTTGTTTTACTATGGTTGCAAATATAAAAAAATTTCTATATGTGACACGGCACCAGAGTTAAGTTAGGGTTTTTCAAAATGCTGGCACGCCGAGCTCAAAAGGTTCGCCATCACTGGGGTAGCGTCAGCGGCTGCTGGAGCCGGTTCACTCCTGGCCCTCTGACTTAAAAAACCTTTGAGCCCTAACGGGTTTGGCTCAGTGGATAGAATTTTTAAAAATAAAAAATAAATAAAAAACCTTTGAAAAGCAGAAGATGGGGTGCTTCCAGCTCACCCTCAGCGGGTGGAGGCCAGGCAGTGGAGTGTGGGTGTCAGCTGGCTCTGGGCTCCTGTCTGAGCAGCCACGGCTTCTCTGTCTGTAGGCTGCCCCCCCGATTATGTGCCCCCGGAAATCTTTGACTTCCACACGCGGTCTGACGTGCAGCTCTACGGCATGATCTACAAGCCGCATGCGGTGCAGCCAGGGAAGAAGCACCCCACTGTTCTTTTTGTGTACGGAGGCCCCCAGGTGGGTACTGGCCCTGTTCCTCACACCCCCTCCCTCCGTGCCAGGACTGGAGTGCCCCCTCTGACCACACAGGGTTCTGGGGTCCCTCAGGCTTCTGCCTCTGGCTTTCTGTACACCTTATCCTCCCTGATGACCACCGCTCCTCCTTCTCCTGCTGATGCTCCCTTGTCCCTTTGGGAAGCCCCCCTCATCCCAGGTGTTCCTTTGGGGCACCTGCCCAATAGTGATCCACTCCCACCCATGGCCACCAGCATGGGGACAGAGGTGGCCATGGGCTCTGGGCCCAGGTCTCTGAGAAGGGGACATCTAAGACAGTGGTTCTCACTTGGAGTCCTGTCCTTCAGGGGACACTGGATGGTATCTGGGCAATTTTCACAACTCGGGGAAAAACACTCCTGGCATTGATGAGTGGAGGCCAGTCTACATGCTCCAGCACCCACTACGCACCCCTCCCCCCATACACACACACACAGGGAATGATAAGGCCCCAAATAGTAACAGCACCAAAGCGAGGAGCTGGTTGAAGTCAAGTTCCTCATAGAAAGCACCTGCTTCCACACCAGCCATTCCCCCACCAGCGTTTGTGTCTGCTTTTTAGAGAGAACGGAGGGTAGTAAGGAGGCAGAGCGGGGCTGTAGGAACAAGGCTTGGTGCAGCATGGCCCTCTCCCTTCCCACTCCCCCACGTCCAGAACCCTTCCGGGCCATTCATAGTCTTTACAGTAAAGTACAGGGTCCTTATTAGGCTGGAAGACCCCTGCCCCGTCCCGCTGGCATCGGGGCCATCTAGCCCATTCTGTCTCGCATCTCATGCTGGATTTCTTACCACATGCCCAAAGCCCCACGTCCTCGCTTTGCCTTCCCCACAGGTGCAGCTGGTCAATAACTCCTTCAAGGGAATCAAGTATTTGCGGCTCAACACGCTGGCGTCCCTGGGCTACGCTGTGGTTGTGATTGATGGCAGGGGCTCATGTCAGCGAGGTCTTCGGTTCGAAGGGGCCCTGAAAAACCAAATGGTAACTTTTCTTCCCAGTCTCTCCGGGCCCTTCCTGTGTAGTGAAGGGAGATCTGGGTTTTGTTGGCTCAGGGTTTGGGGCGGCTCCGGGTCACCTCCTTCAAGGACCGTCATAAGTGGAGTGGCCTTTTGGAACCAAAGGGAACATCTGCTTTGCTGCTCAGCTCTGAGCTTCGTCTCATGGGGACACAGGTATACACCTGTCGCACCTGGTGCCTGAAACCAGACACATCAGTACAGGCCCAGGTGGCAGGAGGAGCCAAGGGCTGGGCTGGACAGGGACTGGTGGCTGCACAAGTGGTGCTAACGGTGATGGTGGAGACCATGATGATGATATGATGATGATGATGGTGATGGTTGTGTTGATGATATGATGGTGGTGGTGGTGGTGGTGGTGATGGTGATGATGGTGATGGTGGTGACAGTAGTGATTGTGTTAATGGTGGGGGTGGTGATGGTGGTGGTGGTGGTGGTGATAGTGATTGTGTTAATGGTGGTGATGGTGGTGATGGTAATGGTGGTGACAGTAGTGATTGTGTTAATGGTGGTGGTGGTGATAGTGGTGATGGTGATGATGACACCAACTATTCATTGAGCCCTAGCATGTGCCAGACCTCTGAGTGTAGGACACGCACCATCCCATGCTGCCCTCATGTCCACTGTAAAATGGGTCCTATTCAGGTTAACACCCTCGTTTTGGGTGGGAAAACAGGCCCAGAGAGAGGATGTGACTTTCTCAGAGGAACAGCCAGGAGGTAACAGGGCAGGGTTGGTGCCAAACCTGTCTGACCACTGCCCCAGAGAGCAGGGCGAGTGTGAATGGAGCTTTGATCCGAGAGGGAGAGGGCTCCTCACAAGGGGCAGAGATGGGACGGCAGTAGGAGGAGCCACTGAGAGGTTCCCGGCCTCGTCCCCCAGGGCCAGGTGGAGATTGAGGACCAGGTGGAGGGCCTGCAGTTCGTGGCCCAGAAGTACGGCTTCATCGACCTGAGCCGGGTGGCCATCCACGGCTGGTCCTACGGAGGCTTCCTGTCGCTCATGGGGCTGATCCACAAGCCTCAGGTGTTCAAGGTGGGTCCCGCCCCGCACCCTCCCCTTGTCTGCTAGCACCCGCCCAGGCCCCGGCGCCCTTGGGGGAGGCATCTCGGCAGGGCTTTGCCACGTGGCTGTTTCTCCCCGCAGCAGCCCCACGGGGCCGAGCCCCCCTCCTCATTGCCCGCCACTGCTGACCCCAGGATGGCGTCCGGCTGCACAAAACCCCGCCAGCAGCTCTCTGTGGGAGGCTGAGCCTGGGACCCCGGCCTCGGATGGGCAGAGGTGGGGCATGGTGTGAAGAGCATCGGGGGAGGGGCCCCCAGGCCGCAGCACTGTCCGGGCACCGCGGGGCGGCGATGAGGAGGAGGAGGCAGAAAGGCAGTGGGACCAGGGAGGAGCCGATCCCGGCCTAAACATGCCCGTTCAGTTCACCCTCCCTCGACAGCACACAGTCCACGGGGGACACGTGGTCTGAGGGCCCCTCCCTGCCAGCCCCCCTCCCGTTTGCATGCCCACTCCTCATGTCCTCCGGGGGAGGCCCCGGGACAGCCAGTTGAATGAGGGCTCCCGAAACCTGACCCATGTGCATGTGTCTCTCCTCTTCTCTCTCTCTCTTTCTCTCCGCCCTGTCCATCCACTGTGGTCCTCAGGTGGCCATCGCAGGTGCCCCGGTCACAGTCTGGATGGCCTATGACACAGGGTACACGGAACGTTATATGGACGTCCCGGAGAACAACCAACTTGGCTATGAGGCAGGCTCCGTGGCCCTGCACGTGGAGAAGCTGCCCAACGAGTAAGGCCCCTCCCTGCCCTGGCAGTTCTGAGTCACTGGGTGCTCCTGCTCTGACACTGCTCCCTGGCTTCCGCTCCTCCCTCTCCCTGCTTCAGTCTCATGTCCCCTCCCGCAGCCCTGTCGCCTCTCCGACCCTCCCAGGAGGTGGTATCTGGGTGCTCTGGAAGGGAGGCCCCTGGCCCTGCCCTCAGAATGCTGTAAGGAAAGTTCTAGGTTTGTACCACTGCACCTGTGGACAGCCTCATTACCCAAGCTCATGGCCTGCCAGAGGCCCATCAGTTGGTCTTCGACATGAACAGTCTTTGTCTTGTGGGTTCTGACACTCTGGTTTGGGACCCAGTTCCACGTGGGTGTAACACTGGATGCATCAGACCAGCTCAGATGTCCATGGCATGCCTTTGGCATTGGCATCTGATTCTCTGATTAAAGAAATCAGTGTTGCCACTTTCAGCTGTGGCTCTGTCTGAACGTATGCCAGGCTCCCATGCTGGGGTTCCCTTTGCCCTCTAACCCGGCCTGGGCTCCCTGGGAGGCCCACATGCAGCCAAACCTGGAACCCCCTGCTCTAGACCTGTGCCATCTACTTCAGATCACATTCACTCACATCCACTGAGATAATCAATCCATTGAGGCAGGCGCAGATTGCTGATTGCCAGGGTGTGGAAATGACTGAGGATGCCGTGGGGTTTTGCTTTGGGGTGTTGGAATGTTCTGGAACTAGATAGAGGTGATGGTTGTACAACCTTGTGAATACACAGAATGCCCCTGGAATTTTGCTTTAAAATGAGTTAACTTCAGGCTGTGTGAATTCACCCCAATAAATTACTTTTTAAAGTCCAATGTGGCCACTTTTGCCACATTTCAAGTGCTCAGTAGCCATGTGTGCTGGTGACTTTTGGGCTGGGCAGGTCTATAACCCGTCATCCCAGAGTACCTCGGGGCAGCACTGCCCTAAAAGCTTTCTATAGCTCAGGCCATTGCACACATAGCCAAGAGCACCCTCTCCCCTCCTTGCCCGGATGTGAGGAGGTCTCCCTGACCCACCAGTTGTGCCGGTGTGTCTCCCTCCCTCAACCCTGCCCCCCTCCCTCCACTACCTGTTACTTCTGCCCTCGCTGCCCCTGGGCTGGAGGAGGACACTGGGACTAACTGCCTCTGGGCGGGAGAGGAGGGTCTCACCTCCACCCTCACCCCACCTTGTCTTCCAGGCCCAACCGCCTGCTCATCCTGCACGGCTTCCTGGATGAGAATGTGCACTTTTTTCACACAAACTTTCTCGTCTCCCAGCTGATTCGAGCCGGAAAACCTTACCAGCTCCAGGTGGGTGGCTCCTGGATGCTTTGGGTCCCTCCCGGGAGCTGACAAAGTGGGAGTGGCAGTCAGGGTGGCATCACCTCTCACTGCACTTGCCACCTCTCCCTGGGCTCCCTGTAGCCAGTGTCCATTCATCCTTGATGCAGCAGTCATGGTTGATCGCTCCGGTCCATGCTGTCCCAGTGCTGGGAACACAGCTAGACTCACCCCAGCCCAGAGCCTGGTGGAGGGTAGTCGATGCAACTGAAATCACACAGAGGTTTTAAACCAAGAAACTTGGAGGAATTGTCCAGGGTTCTGCAAGCATCTAGGTGGGGTATTGGCTGGGATGTCAGAAAATTTCCTAAAGAGGCAGCATTTAAAGGAACTAAAGACTACGTGGGGAGTCAGCCAGGCCCCAGGGTGGGGGAGGTGTGTGGAGGACACCAGACACAGGAAACCAGTGGATGGAGCAGCTCAGGGACAGGAGACTAGGGTGGGTGGCTGGGGAGTAAGCTGGAGAGGAGCTGGAGACCAGGGTGGGCCCCGGTGGCTGGGCCTCAGGTGAAAGTGGGATATTGGGAAAGGGATGGTGCTTTAGTAGTAAGGGGTGGGCCTTGGGGGGGGGCGTAAGTGCTGGCATTTAGGGGGTGGGTCTTGCCTGGATTTTGTTCTAGGGGCGAGAAGAGGTGTCCAGCCCCGAGAGCAGGACTGTGACTGTTTTGCTTGCTCTGTGACCAGCATCCCTCTGGCTGCCCTGTAGACAGGGGCCAGTAGGACATGAGCCATAGTCAGTTGTCCTGGCAGGAAAGGGGTCAACAGTGGGGAGCAAGAAGCCCAGTGGGTGTGGAGGAATTCTGGAGGCAAGAGAGACAGATTTGATCACAGGCCGCCCCGATGTCTGTCTGCTTCCCAGACACCTCCATGCGCTCTGTCCTGTCAAACATGGCAGGAGGGAAGCAGGCAGAGTTGGGTGTTTTTATTAATCCTCACCCAAGGGTAGGTTTATTGATTTTAGAGAGAAAGGAAGGGTGGGAAAGAGAGAGAAACATTGATTAGTTATCTCCTTTATGCCCCTCATCTGGGGACCAAACCCACAGCCTAGGTATGTGCCCTGACCAGACTTATGCCCCTCATCTGGGGACCGAACTCACAACCTAGGTATGTGCCCTGACCAGGAATCGAACCCGAAACCTTTTGGTGTACATGACAATGATCCAACCAACTAAGCCACCTAGCCAAGGCAAGGCCAGCGCTTCTGTGGGGGTGAAGAACTGTTAGAGTACCTCTCGGCAACCCCACCCCCAGCCACACGTTTCCCACAAATAGGCCAGAGGCAGCTGCAGATCAGGGCAAAAGTCAGGCGGGCCCAGGATGGAATTGCAAATGTCCTTCTGAGCCTGAAGCCATGACCAGGGAGCTGGGATAGTTGTTCCCTCCTATGTGGCAGGTCTGTTAGCCTTGGGCCTCGCTTCCTCATCTGTGAAGTGGGCACAAATACCCCCTCCCTCCCAGTGAGGCTGTGAGAGCCAAATGAATTTTCGCAGGAAAAGCATTTAGACCCTGCCTCCCCAGGAGAAATTGGAAGTGAGGTAACACTCTGTTGGGGGTGGGAGCATGGCTCATGCTCTTTTGTCTCCATGCAGAAGTGGGTGGTAGCACAGGCCCTGAGGGGTGATGCCCTGAGCCAGAAATGGGGACAGGCTTCATAGTGCCAGGGCAGGCCAGCAGAGTTGCTCGGTGCCACCAGCCCTGCCTTCTTTGTCCACTCAGATTTACCCCAACGAGAGACACAGCATCCGTTGCCCCGAGTCCGGCGAGCACTATGAAGTCACGCTGCTGCACTTTCTACAAGAATACCTCTGAGGGCCAAGGCACTCGGCCGCACACTTAGAGCACAAGTGGTTTCTCCGCCGCTGCCACCACCACTACCACCACCACCACCACCAGTGAGACCAGGTGGAAGGACCGAGTGGCCTTGCAGCTCCCACCCTGCAGTGCCCTCTCCACAGCCCCTGCTGGACCGCCCAGGCCCAAGAGCCACCGCCTTCATGACCCGACGTCTTTTATCGTTTTTAAAAATGCTCCTGGGTTCTTTGCCTGCTGCTTCTTGGTTGCCAAGATGGAGAGATACGGCTGACCCACAGGGCACTTCCTGAAGCCATCCCCTCTCCCCATTGTCTGGGAGCAGGACGCCTGAACTCCACTGGGCACGGGAGAGGTTGGGTCTGCCTGCTGGGCCCTGGCCCACCACTGCACCCAGCCCGGAAGCATGCAATTGGTTGCCTTTTCTCCTCACCAGCCCCATTTCCTACTTGTGTTTTGTTTTTGGGGACATTTTTCATAATTATTTAAAAGACAGAAAGCAAGGGGTGCCTAAATCTAGAATTGGGGTCTGCCGCTGAGTAACGGGGTTCAGCCCAGCCAGCACCCAGTGAACCCTGCCTCTTTCGAAGCCCAGAGTGGGGAGTGGTGGCCAGCAGGTATGAGCGATGCACGCGGCGCAGAGCAGCCTCCTGGGCCCGCCTCTCCCCAGCTGGTAGGCAGGCTCTGAACTCGTTCAGCTGTTCAGCTTCGGTCTCTGCTGGCCAGCGGCTGCTGCCCACCCCGGCCCTCCAGCCATGTGTCTGCCTGGCCCGCACCGACCAGATTCCGGGGTTGGGAGTGGAACCATCCCCACCTCAGGGTTATCTTTACTCCTTCCTTTCCCTCCCTGCCACGAGTTCTGCCAGGGGCGGGCGAGAAAAAAAAAAAAAAAGAACCCCAGAAACAAACCACCTCTACATATTAAGGAAAGAAAATATTTTTGTCAATTCTTATTCTTTTATAATTATGCGTGTACGAAATAGGCTCATTAAACGATTCCAGATGGAAGCGTGGCCACTGCCTGAGTTTCCTTCTAAGCCCTGGGGATGGGGATGAGGGCCTTTTGGAAAGTGCAGGGTCCAGGAGGTGGCAGAGCCAAAGGCATGACAGTGTTTGTAGTCAGCCCTGGACTCCTTGGCACGAAGGGGAGGGACACCATGCCCTGCTCCCCGAGTGGTCCAGTGAAGACGGTCCCCGCCGTTCTGATGTGTCACTCGGAATCCAGTATAGGATGTGGAGGGTGGTACAGACAGCCCCCCAGGCTTTCCCAGGGCAACAGCACAACCCAAGGTACAGCCTCCTGGCCGAGTGCTCTGTGGGCCACCACTACTTCCTTTTGCACTGTGCTTGTCCAGAGACATGACTGTTTCAGGCATCAGGAAACCCCCTTCTTCATGTTTGTCCCGATAGCAGAGAGATCCAGGGGGACTGGAGACGGTGCCTGTGTATACGGCACGCAGGGTATTTGAGTTTCTGACAGCAGAATGGCCTTGCTGAGTGCAGTCATCCTCTCCATCCTTTGGGAAGCTCTATCTTTATTTTTAATTGCTTAAAAAATCAGTACAAAAGGCTATTAGGAAGGACAGATGCCCTTCGTCCCAAGTCTCTATTTTTAATAGCTGCATTCTATTCAGCTTTGTGAATATTCTATAAATTATTTTGCCAGGAACCAACCTATCAAGGACTAATAAAAGTTATTCTGGACTTTTTATATTAATCAGTATAAGGGTCAGCTGGCCTCTGTAAAGAGCCAGATAGTAAATATTTTGGGCTTTATAGGCCAGATAATCAGTGTTCCAACTACTCAACTTCACCCTTGTAGTTCAAAAGCAGCCACCAATGATACGTAAAGTGTAGGTTTAGCTGTGTGCCAATAAAACTTTATTTAGAAAACCAGGCATCTAGCCAGATTCAACCCACAAATTGTAATTGGACAACTCCTGGTGTAAATGATACTTCAACCAATAGCCTTGTACATATTTTGGGTATATGTTTGAGTTTATTGGGTAAATTCCTAGAATTATCAAAGGCATATTCATTTTTAATTTTTTTTTTTAATATATTTTATTGATTTTTCACAGAGAGGAAGGGAGA